CCAAGGCGATGCTAACACCGCCTACTTCTAGGCAGTCGCTAATGGGCGGCGCCGGAAGTGCTCCATCCCATGCCTATGGGAGGTAGATACCCTTCTCGAGCACCCAGATGAGATTAGGACCCACATTTACTCCTTCTTTAAGGGGCTCTTCTCGGCGGAACCCCGTGGTGAGGTATCTTTGGCGAAAAATTTCTGGCCGACAGCGGACAGGGTATCCGACATTGAGAATGCGAAATTAACTATCCCATTCTCGTCGAAAGAGGTGGGTAGGGTGATCGCCTCTATGAATGCGGGGTTGGCACCGGGGCCCGATGGCATGTTGGTTGCCTTCTTTCAGAAATTCTTGAATGTCCTAAAGACAGTGATCATGCTGATGTTCCGTGAATTCTATATTGGAACATTTGACATGTCGCGAATAAAATTTGGAGTCATCACCCTGATCTCCAAAGTAGTTGGGGTGACGGACATTAGGCACTTCAGACCTATCACAGTAATCAACATTCTCGAGCGCATTTTCTCAAAAGTTTGCGCGACTAGACTAGCATCGGTCACTGAGCGGCTGGATCACCCCCTCTAGAAGGCATTTATGAAAGGACGACGGATTCAAGACAGGATCCTGGCCCTTCATGAGATTGTCCACGAGGTGCGGACTCACGGACATAAGGGCGTCTTTCTCAAGATGGATTTCCAGAGAGCCTATGATCGGCTGGACTGTACCTTCTTGCGGCTAGTCCTGCAGCGTGGAGGCTTTGAGGACTGATGGTGCAACTGAATTATGCAGTAGGTGCGGTCTGGTAAGACGATGATGAATATAAATGGCGAGGTGGGCCATTCTTTACGTCCTTCGTGGGAGTGAAGCAAGGGGTCCCGATCTTGCCCTTTCTCTTCAATCTCGTTGTTGATGCGCTACCAGAAATCTTGGATAAAGCCACGAAGACAGGTCACCTCTTAGGGTTAGTTGGTCACCTGATCCTTGGGGGAGGGGTCACTCACCTCCAGTATGCCGATGACACCATGATTATGATGGAGGGGTCCGATCTGAACATCGTCAATCTTAAGTTCCTACTCCTCTGCTTTGAGGCTATGTCAGGACTAAAGATTAACTTTGACAAGAGTGAGGTCATCATCCTAGGATTCCTTGCGGAGGAACAACAATGGATTGCAGACAACCTAAATTGCAGACTAACCTTATTCCCCATTATATACTTGGGAATGCCGATGGCCGACTCGAAGATTCTGATGAGTGCATTCGATCCATTGGAGGGACGAGTGGCATCTCGGGCCGAGCCCTGGTGTGCGTAGTTTACTTCCAAGGCAGCAAATCGGTCTTTATTAGTTCTAACCTAGCGAGCCTCCCCATGTACATGATGGGGTTCTATATCCTACCTGAGGGCGTTCACGGTGCCTTCGGTAAGGACCTCACTAGCTTCTTCTGGCAGGCGACCAACGGTCGTCAAAAGTATCACATGGTAAAGTGGGGTGGATATATGTATGCCTAAGGACCGTGGTGGCTTGGGCACTATTGCACCGCCGCATGAACGTCACGCCCATGTTGCGATGGGTCTAGCAGATCCTAAGCGGCGAGGGAGGTTATGGTTACAACTCATTCACGCAAAATACCTTAGGGGTGAGTCGCTCCTAGCATGCTCCTGGACGGGTGGTTCACAATTTTGGCGTTCCATCCAAAGGATCAAGGACGACATCCGCTAGGGATTTCATTCTCCACGGGGAATGGGGACGTGATCCAATTTTGGCTGGACCCTGGTTGGGTACCAAGCCATTGCGTGTATGCTTCCCTGGCTTGTTCTCGATCTGTGTAGATCCGTCTCTACTAGTCTCCACGGCCTTCCAAGCTGGACAGTGGAATATCCAGTTCCGTCGCACCTTTGGACAAGCAAAGTGTGACGATTGGACTAGATTACGGGCCACCCTACCACTAGTGCTACCAGCTATCCGGACACGGTGTCTTGGCGGCTAGCGCCGACGGCGGAATATTCAGCGATACGGCATACCATGCCCTATGCCAACCACCTACCACCCTGTGGCTTTCTCCGTTGTGGAAACACCCTCCCCCTTTACCCTTAAAGATTAAGATTTTCGTGTGCAGTACTGGAGATTGGGACCCATATCCTTTTCCCCTGTACGGTGGCGCGGGTGTTAATTGTTATGGACATTCGCCTGCGAGGCGTTGGAACCCGACTGGAGGCCCTGAACCTTGCGGAGTTTCTCCAGCAGAGTTATGCAGCAGTCGCGACATCGCCGTCTATTTTGCCTTATTTTTGCGGCGATGTCATGGACTCTTTGGACGACTCATAATAAGATGGTGATTGAGAAGGTCTTTCCGAGGAAGGCATCTGACTCCTTCAAATTTCTTGCTTTTCTACAGCACTGGCGCCCGCTCTCGAGGCAGCGTGATCGTGACCGGCTCGGCCTCATGATGGATGCGTTGCTGGCTTCAGCGTGTCGACTATCGTCATCGTAGTGCCGCTTGTCGGCTGCTAGGTGTTTTTTTTCTTCTTCTATTTCTCTTATGTTATCTTGGGCATGAATGTGTTGTGGTCCGAGCGGTCACTCTTCAGATGATGTTCGGATGTTGGTTGTATGAAGAGTTGCTTTATTTATAAAACTGGGCAAAGGCCTATTTCGGTAGATATTTGTCTGGCGTATCTCTAACAAATTATGTGGACCTGATTGGTAATACAACATCAACGGATTGCTATCACGTTCTGATAGCGTACGTACTGTGTGGTGAAGTGCTAAGAATGTGACAGTGACAGGAAGCAGGATTTTCCGTCTTCAGTTCAGATATATGTGAAGTAAAGTACGTACATGTCAATGCTACATCTAGGGGTGGGCACTTTTGAACCGAAAACCGAAAAACCGAACCGAACGAACCATATTAACCGTTTTATCTATTTATTCTGTGATTCAATTTTTTATTCGGTGGGAAATTTTAAGATTGTTCGGTGTTTGGTTTTTGTTCGGTTTCCAGTGCCCAAAAACCAAATACACCGAAAAAACCGATATGTACGATACCCATGCAATACCTTGTTTTTAAAAGTTCAGCAGGGGCGCGTCCTCTGGCAAATACTTGTTGGTTGTGGCAGACGTCACGCCAGCCGCTAGATGAGTTTCTAATCTCACAATCTAACTAGTACTCTTATATAACGTCATATTAGCATGGCTAACTGAATCTGTTTAGATTATTCTACTATTGTTTGCATGCAACATAGTCAATGGCCGTATTCTTCTAGCAAGTACTTATTAAGATTTCTATCCATGCAATATCACGAAGGAGTATGTATGCATGCCCGGCGCTTGCTTATGGAAGTAACTAGCAATTAGTGTATCAATTAGTGCATGAGTTGCTTAGTTTACACGCATCACACATATTCTTCCGTACATAATACATGTAACGCCCCATGTGATTTTACATTTAGTTATGTTCACTAGTTTGCTTGACTGAATAAAGCACTGACTGATGTTAAGGTTGCTAGCTCTTGTGATATATACTGATGAGTGCATGTATTTTGGTTTTTCGGTTAACCTAATAAACTGAACCGATATATTATGGTTAATATGGTTCGGTTTCTAAATATTGTGTGATTAATTCGGTTTCCATTTCTTCAAAACCGAAATTATAAAACACCGAATAAACTGAACCGTATTAACCATATAAACTGAATGCCCAGCCCTAGCTACATCAAGTAAAAATTACTCCCTCCGTTTCATAATATAAGAGTGTTTTTGATACTACACTAGTGTAAAAATGCTCTTATTTTATGAGATGGAGGGAGTAGTAAAATTGATACTCCCTCTGTAAACTAATATAAAAATGTTTAGATCATTATTTTAGTATTCTAAACACTCTTATATTAATTTATGGAGGGAGTATATACAAGTGTAATTACTGTCTGAGATGTCCATCACGTGTAACATGGCTTACTACGAAGCTAATACTCTTGGCACCAAGCAACTTCAGAATATAGCCGCTTTCTAAGGTGGAATTGTCTGAATCTACTCGCAAAAAAAAAAAAGAATTGTCTGAATCACTACGCTCCCGATACCTGGCAAAACTAATGTCTGCTTCATGGGGCAAAATGTCAGACTGCACAGACAATAAAAAATGTTGTTCTCTGGAACCCAACCGACAGTTGGATAAAAGGGTCGTACTGCCCTAGCTAGTGGATATGGGGTTTTGTGAGCTGACGAGAGAATTAGTGGCAAGTTGCCAACTGCAGAAGTTCCACCTTCCCTTTATCCAAGTGGAATTCCCCTGGGCCACAGTAACACCCACAACAGACCAACCTAATTTACCTTCCTCTTTCTGGAAGGTGCTCCTGCTGCTTGAGCTCTCCTTCAGAAATTTCTGGTAGGAACCCTAGAAGAAGGCAAGAGCAACTCTGCCCGAAAACGATGACCTGACCATGTCTCATACGTTCTATACTCGGTAGAGGAACCGGGCCATGTTTACAGTATTGCTCTTTCAAGCCACACACTAGTAGTATAGATGTACACACCTTTGACAATTCACCCGGACATGGCTGTCACTGTTACCCAACCACCGTGTCCCTGAATGGCCTCAGCACCTGGTGCTGGTGATGTGCTACAAAGCGGCGCCTCATTCCACCTTTTTCATTTTGATCTCGGCGAACAAATGGGCAGCCTTTTGGAGGCACATTTTCCAAAAGCTGGAGCCATAATAAAACAACGTTGCATGATGCCCATCAAGACCCCTGCTAATCTGATCCCAGTCTCGGTCCCAATCCCATGTCGTTATGTAGGAGTACTACTATGTGCAAGCTAAGCTAACGCTCTGCTTCAGTATATCCAAGAAGCACCGCGCAGCAGAAAAGGCAACTTCGACGACGTGGGTCCTGTAGCTGCACATCTCCACTATAAATCTGCCCTCTCGCCTCCATAATCACAGGCCATCCGCTCTCTTCTCCGTTCCGTTCCACAGCTAGCTAGCTAGTTCGAGTGACCGAGCACGAGCAAGCATGTACCCGGCCGAGCTCGCCAGCGTCCCGTACCTGTCGGCTGCGACTGCGACCGCCGCCTTCAGGCCTCATTACCAGGTAGCTCCAGATGACTTCCTCTTCCAGTACAACGGCGGCGGCCTCCTGGTTCCTCAGGCGACGTCGCCCCCCTGCTCCTCGTACCAGCAGCACGACGTCGTCGGCCAGCTGCTCCACGAGGTCGCCGGCGGCGGGCTCCTCCTCCCGTTCGGGGCCAGGTCGTCCAACTCGGACGAGTCGGACGAGTACCACCACCACCACCAGGCGGCGCACTGCAGCAGCAGCCTCGCGGAGGAGCGGCGGCGGCGGCGGATGGTGTCCAACCGGGAGTCGGCGCGGCGGTCGCGCATGAGGAAGCAGAAGCAGCTGAGCGAGCTGTGGGCGCAGGTGGTGCACCTCCGCGGCGCCAACCGCCAGCTGCTCGACCAGCTCAACCGCGTCATCAGGGACTGCGACCGCGTGCTGCGCGACAACTCCGGCCTCAGGGCCGAGCAGGCCGAGCTGCGGGAGCGGCTCGAGAAGCTGCCTGCTGTGCCAGTGGCCGTGGCCGTCGAGGAAGCGGGACAAGTTGAGCTTGCTGCTGCCCAGGGTGATATGATCGACTAGATGATCAATGTTATTATATGGGAACTTGAATTACCATTTTTGTACCTCTGCTCTGCTCTATGTGGGACGCCATTGTTAGCATGTACGTATTCTTTTAGACATACCAGTGTTGGCATGTAGTAGTTTCAAATAAGAAAATGTTGGCATGTAGTGCTGAGTTGTCCAGTTTTGCCATGTACTCATGTACTATAACAAAAAATGAGAGCATGAAGTATTTCATGTAGTACTATATATCTTCAAAAATCACAACTGAGTGATCAATTTAAGTTTAAAAACTCGTCACAGAAATACAAGCAGAATCCATCTAGGTGATTTTGATGAGAGCGATGTAATTGCACAATCAACATTAGCTGATAAAATGAAGGCAGCGCTGTGACTGGAAAATCAACATTACCTGTCTAATGTACCATGAGATTTCTGGATAAGCAAAAGATTCAAGCATGCAACTCAATAACGCATATAACAAAAAATTAGAACAAATCTACCAAAACTTGATATAACAGCATCTCACATATTATATATTCAAACGTAGTTTCAATGAAGGACGAGTCTACGTAGCGGGCGGCTGCTCGCTGGCATGCGCGAGCGGCCGGTCTAAAATAGAAATTCTTTTATCCGCTAGCATCTGCTCTGCATAGACATGCATGTGTGTAATTTTTGTCCGCTAGCGCATGTATCTTTTAGCATTTAATACATTCACATCGGTCACAATCAGTTGAAAAAAACAGATCACATATGCATTTGTTTCGGTTTTCAAATTTTCAAAAAGCTATATCTTCCAAACCGCGCGTCGGAATTAAGATATGTTTTCACCGCTGGAATCCTCGCAACGTGCTCTTCAAAACTATATCCCGCATGGGGATGTTTCGACGAACTAGTCTTCCTGCCAACTAAACATTAATGTGTGTGCAACTAGACTAGATTGCCGCGCCAACTGAGCATATGTGTGTGTGTGTCAAAAAAGTCCTGCCAACTAAACATCAATGTGTGTGCAACTAGACTAGGTTGCCACGCCAACTGAGCATATGTGTGTGCAACTAGTGTCCTGCCAACTAAACATCAGTGTGTGCAACTAGACTAAATTACAAGCCAACTAAGCATATGCGTGTGCAATTAGTCTTTCTGCCAACTAAACATCAATGTGTGTGCAACTAGACTACATTACAAGCCAACTAAATATCAATGTATGTGCAACTAGACTACATTACAAGCCAACTAAACATCAATATGTGTGCGGCTAGACTACATTACAAGAGGAGGTTGCACATCGACTTTCGTTGAGGCAATAGACTAGTCGCACATCAAAGTTGTCGTGGTTGCTAGGTTGTAACCTCATACGAAGGCGCAGCTCCAAACATTAGTTTTGGAAAAAAGTTGCACGATGTAGTAATAAAGTTGCACAATGCAGTAATAGAGTTGCACTATATAGCTTCAAAGTTGGCATCGAAAAAAATTCGTCAAAATATACCCATGCGGGATCTAGTTTCAAAGATCTCGTCGCGAGGATTTCAATGGTGAAAACATATTTGAATTCCGACGCGCGGTTTGAAAGATATAGTTTTTTGAATTTTTAAAAACCCAAAATAAATGCAGATGGATTTGTCTTTCTTAAACTAAAGAAGCAGTGTGAACGTATTTAATGCCACGCCTACATACACTAGCAGACAAATGAGCCGGCCGCTCGGTTCGACCAAAAAGTGCGCGGCCACTTTTTAGATTTCAGGTTCAATGAAAGATGACCAGAAAACAAACAGGCACGCCAGATGCAACGGACCAGACATATAGTCGTTCGTTTAACTGACTCAATACAGAAATAACCAAAAACTCAATGGTGCAAACAACAGGCAAATACGGAAAGTTGAAAGACAACGACTGACACTTATAACACTCATCAAAGACACTCGGTAGTAGGGTGGTAGGGAATCGCAGCACTGCCTCTCACTCGTCGTCGTCAGATTCGGCGCTCTGGAGCCACTCCACGACCGGCTTGGCGTTCTTCACGACCTGGGAGTTCTTGCCGGCAGCAACAGCTTCATTGTACCACTGGACAATGGTTTCTTCCTCGAGGACGTCTCCATCATAGAGGGCCTTCAGGACGACGGGGACTTCCTTCAGGGCTTCAGCACTGCACTTGCCACAGAACGCCTCGATAGCCTGGAGCAGGAGCATCTGGGACCCTTCATCAGGCACCGCGGCGGAAAGGTACTTCTTGTTCTTCACCACTTCCTTCGCGAACCCCTTGCCCATGCCATGGAAGAGTGCCTCAAAGAGAGCATGCATCACGTCCTTGGGAGGTAGGGCTGAGGAGGCGAGGACACCCTTGAGCTGAGCTGCAGTGGCAGCATTGCCCAAGTTGGCCTTGATCTCTTCAACCAGTTCGTCATAAGGAGTGGTCTTGGGCCCAGTCTGGTTGCCATTGGAATTATCTTCAGCCTTTGGTGTCCCATTGGAACTGCCCTCTTTGTGCAGGGCCTGTTTCTTCTTCTTCTCCGTCTCCTCGGTGGCAAGCATAACCATTTCAGCAGTTGCTGCACTCAGCTGCTCCTCCATGCGTTTTCTCGCGGCTTCCGCTGACGTGTCAGTCTGCCACTCCACATCATCATCGTCATCATCATCTGCAGCAGCTGCAAGGTCGGCACCTTGACTGTGAGTTGGTGAGGTTGCATGTTCTTCATCAGAACCTCCCCCAGCAGCCTTTTTCTTTGTATCCTTGGAAGAAGCACCTTTCTTCTTTGCATCCTTTTTGAGTTTCTTCATCTCCTCATCAGCAGCTTCACCTTCTTTTATCCGCTCCTTCTCAGCTCTTCGCATAGCTTTCTTGTCTTTGCCTCCCTTCTTCTGTTCTGGCGGGTTCTTCAGGATGAATGTAGTGAGTTTGTCCCTCATGTCAACATCAGAGAGGAAGCCACAGGCAGCACATTTCAGAGTTATCATCTCTTTCTTGGAGATGAGGACCTCAGTCTCAGGATTGCCACAGCCATAACACTGCACATACTTCTTGATGAAGTTCTCAAGAAGGCCAGCCAGCTTTGAAGTATCATGAGCACCATTGACCAAGGCGATTCCTGTCTTCTCATCAAATTTTGATTGTGCTCCAAGCTCACATCCAAAGTACTTGGTGGTGTAGGAAGCGGGCCTGGCAAGTGCTTTTGCTATATCAACCATGTTCACAATATTTGTCTTGATGCCATTACCACGGCCTTCTATTTTTGTCAACATTCTGGGCATCTTGTACCTGTAGAAGGCATCATCCTTGTTTGAAGCACCAATGTTTTGCAGCGCCATCTTGACTCAAGCTTTCTGCAGCAGGTACTATCAGATGTAGAAAATTCCAGAAGTGAGAGTAGCTGCTGGTCCTTGAAGAAAACTGAGCTGGCTTTGAGCACTGGCGGTGGCAAGTGAATTCTCAGAACCAGAGATCCTAATAGGCTCTTGATGCATGCAGGGGAGCACAAACTTGTGCCTTTTTCTCGTTGAACGAGAATACTCTCCCAGCAATCCAACTGATCCCAAATAAACCGATGCTTGTTCAGACATAAAAGAAGCTTCACCTTCTAGGCCCTCCACTTTGTCAGATTGCAGCAATACAGAGGCTGATACATTGATTAAACAAGTCAAAGATCAGATATTGCTGATTCTTCATGTAAGATGAAATTACAAGAAACTAACTGAATTAAAAATTACACCATCATCGCGGAAAGGGGATTAGAGTATCACACAGTATCAATTCATGGGTCAGTTGCTGGCAGAATTGTAGAAAGGAGACTACTAAATCTCTTAATGATAAAATCAGGAGCCCCATATAAACAGTCTAAACAGCACATGTGTGACCAACATCAACAAAGTCAGGTTGTCCTAAGAGGCTAAGATATTTGTATCAACTGGCATAGCTCCATGCAAATTACAGAATTAGTACATCAAAAACAAAAATAACCAGCATGTTGCCAACAGTCTAGACAGCACAGCATGACCAACACCAACAAAGTCAAGTTGTCCAAAGAGGGTAAGATATTTGAATGTTCAATGCAAATTACACAAAAACAACCAGCAAGTTCACAAGGGATGGTGAAGATGAGTAGACTAAACTTTTGGGGCAACTCCTGTTCAGGTGTCCAAACAACAGCAGAGGTCTACTCTAGTTTTAGGGCACACAGCCATTTACTCTTGATCACGTGCTATGTCAAGGCATAATGACAAACTCATATTTGATTATTACAAGTACTGACACTGAATATCATATCTCAAGGAGATGGATCAGAAATATTGTGCATGCAACATTAGTATACAAAGCTGATAGGGAAACTTATAATGAAGATAGCAGTCTAGAACAGAGAAACAAAGATCACAATATCTACACCTTTTAAGTGCCCACCAACAATATAAGTAACTGGTGTACACAGCTGAAGTACAAACTGACTAGGGACAATCTCTACTATTGCATGCAGACACAGCTGAAGTACAAACTGACAACAAAATAAACAGAGCAATCGCACACGTTGCATTCATCTAACCTTGCCTCACGATATTACCCAAAACTTGATGTATCAGTTGGTGCTCTAGCAACTAAAAAGACGAAATCAAGAACAGAGATGCACCTAAATATGTATCTCATAACTAGCATATGATGAACCCGCAACAGAGAAACTGATACACAAAGCACAGACTATTCTGGAACATCGAAATATGGATACTGATCCGATATGTGAAGTCACAAACCACTAGGCATATGCCTCCATCAATCAGTGCACACAGAACAGGATTGTAAATTTGTGATGCCCATCCACCCACAAACATGGCGTTCGCTAGAGTTTTATACTTGGATCCTATCTATCTACTTGTGTATCTGCGTCGCACGCTAGCTTACCAACAAAACAAGATCGGAGGGGAGGCGGCCGGCGGATCTGGGAGGCGGCGGGACGAGATAGGCGGATCCGGATGGAACGGACGGAGCGTCGGGCGGCGAGGGGTCCGGCGGGGCGGGGCGGGGCGGCGGGAGGAGGTCGCGCCGCCTCGGTTGGGAGAGAGCTGCGCGTCCAGTCGGGTTCGGGGTAGGGATTGGGATTGTGGGGGAGACCTGAAGGGGAGCCCGGTATTTATACGGGTGGCACGCGGGCCGTAATTTGCAGGAAAACCTGTGGGCTGGCTCGTAATCGCCGGAGTGGAAAAGATCCAGAAGCACCCTCCTTCGGTCCGCCCAGCTGTCAGCGTGATTTGGGGTATAATCAATGTTTTCGAGTCGATGAGTCGACGGGTCGCTCGGGGAGGGCGACTCTAGACTAGTCGTGACTAGTCCAGACTCACGGTCGACGAGTCGACATGGCGACGAGTCAACGCGAGTTAAGCAGCAGGCAGTCAGGGGAGGAGCACAAGTGCACAGCAGCAGCAGCAACCAGGGGAGGAGGGGAGGAGCACACCACCAGCAGCAGTAACCAGGGCCAACTGAGAGATGGGCCACTAGTTATGCACTTCCCTGTGGCCCAAAAGCCCATCTAGTAGCTATATACTCCTCCTGTGACCTAATCCACCATCCACACTCCCTCCTCCCTCACCACAGCCGCCACACATTCTGCTGCCACTCTCTTGGCCACCAGTCCACCACTCCTCCCAGCGATGGATCTCTCAACTCCCCCGCAGCAGCTCTCTTGCCACCGCTCCTCCTCCCAGCCTGCTCCTCTTGCCGCTTCAGCTTCAGCAGCAGCAGCAGCGCGGCGGCAAGGGCGCAGCAGCAGCAGCGAGGCAGCACAGCAGCACGGCGGCGGGAGAGTGCTCTAGATCCAGCGCTGCCTCGAGTCGTTCGACCCAAAAACCGCGACTAGTCGTGACTAGTCGCGCGAGTCGCTCGACTCTTCCCAGGAGTCGAGTCGAGAGGCTGAGTCGGCCCTGGAACTGCGACTCGTCGACTAGTCGCGACTAGTCGAGCGACTCGAAATCCATGGGTATAATAACAAACTTGCTTAAGAAATAGGGTTTGGTTTGGTGTGGCAGCGTTTATTCAGTTGTTTCAGTTAGCGTTAGGTTTAGCCTGACAGCGTTTCTTCGGTTGCTTCTTCTTTTTCTTTCTCATCATCAAGCCACCATCAAGTTGATCACAATAAAATAATTGTATGTTCAATGACAACCACTTTCAGACAGTAGGGGAATATTTCAAATCCCAGAAAAAATGACATGAAACCAAATGGATAATTCATCAAGGAACTTCAACCGCAAGAAAAAAAATCAAGGAATTTGGCATGTATACAGGTTGAAAGGGTCCAAAAAGTCCGCGACTGAGTCGAACTGAATGAAACAAACTTTTTGGACGACGAAACGAGTGAGTGTTTGACAAAGGATAACTACACAAGCAAGCTCAAACTTTATTCCACTAATTGTGGTACATAAAATGTTACAACCAGGCACCAGCACCAGCACAAGAGTGCTCTTTCAGAGTGACAAGACTAAAATACAGACCTCGTGCAATCACAGAAAATGGCATCCAAAGCCAATACAGGAAGGCCCGATAATGCCATAATAGACTGCCTGCAAGCAATATGAACATCTCTGATCGTTCTTACTTCTTGGAAGGAATAAGGTAATTGAGGAAGGGTTCTGCCTTCGGGGCAATAGATTTCACATCATCAAAAGAGGCCATTTCAAAATCTTCATACTCAAAGCCAGGGGCACAGGTGCAGCCAGCAAGGGAGTAGTGCTTCTCGGGGTCTCGCTTCCGAGAGTTCACAAGATGGCTGCCATCGGATGCAAACGACTCAACATCCAACGTAGGGAAAGATCCAAACCACACATTTGGTGGCACGGTGTACTGGGGGCGCTGCCCAGCATCTAGGTGCGGACCAATTACGGTGAGGTCAATGTGGCCATCGTCGTGTAGCTCAAATACCTAGCAAACAGAGAATAGTTGTATTAGCTATATTCAAAATGGCAATCTCAATACCCATATAAAGGCAAGCGTGCAACTGTCACCAACCGTGAGAGGCTCTCCCTTGTAGAAATGCCAGGTTTCAGCGCAAGGAATACGATGCAGATGTGAAACACTCCCTGAAGGAAGCAAGAAATAGATAGCAGTGCTCACAGCACGACCGACCTTGTCTGCAGCATACATAAAGAAGGTATTAGAGGTATTTCCATGGCAGCTTGACGATATGTTCACCTGCCCTCCACTTCTATAATGTAAGCCATACACCAGCACTCAAGACTAAAACAGAGGGAAAGCAGAAGTAAACATTTCCAATCAAGAAGCATCAATATGTTTCCCGTTTAACTATCAGAACAGTATAAGGCAGACAGCCATCGACAGGTACAAATCCAAACATGGAGTTACTAAATTAGCAGAAAGATAAATAGTTCGCACTAAATTTGCCTTTTGTGGAGCATATCAAAAAGCAGCGAGTTCCTATCAAGAATGTTTGCAGTAACTGTAACTGTTCTGGCAGCGATCACAGCATAATATTTTTGTTAGAAAAATCAACTATCCTTATGCAGCCATCCCGCGACATCTTATGATATCCATTTACAGGTTCCAGTAGGCAGTAGAAGCAGAGGAAGTACAGTAGTGCAATCTTCCTAAAAGCAATAATGCCTGATGTATGTAACAACAGTAGTACACAGTGGCATAGCAAAATGTATTCCGTGCCTGATGTATGTAACAGCAGTAGCACAAAGTTATACTAACTAGTGGTATATCTAACACATCATGTTACCCCCAGGTCACAATCCCCTGGCTAACACCGCTGGTTTCTGCGCACTCAATGATCCAGACACAATGGTGAGTTTTACTATCTGAATTCCCACTTGCCAGAATATGCTACTCTACCATCTAAGGTCTGCAAGGTGTCTTCTGCACACGCTAAGACGAAGAACAAGCAGAAACCCCGATTGAATTGGGCCCAATCCAATCGGCGCATCGCACCGCACACTGCTACACCTTTATGTTTTATCTTTCTGAACGGAAATACTCCGTACTAAGCATCCCGCTCCATCCGATGAGAGAGGGGTCAGATCAGATGAAACAGACGAGAAATGGGCGGGCATGAGCATATATGTTACACTGCGGCGGGAGCTGGGCGGTGCTGAGGGAGACGGAGGAGTCGCGGAAGGTCTCGGCGTAGAAGCCGCCCTCCGGGTGCGGCTTCAGATCCAGCAGCGCCGCTACCTCCGTGGCCGTCATCTCGCAGGAGCCCATCTCCTCTGGATCGACCGGCGGGGCTCCTCTCGCTGTCCGCTTCGAGGTTCCTGGCTTCTGGTGGCGAAGGCGAAGTAATCTAGGGATCGTTGAGCGGAGCCGCCGGTGATTGATTGGGCTGATTGTTTATCCGGCTGGAACGTGGGAGGTGCGCTGCACTGCGCCGGGGAGCGGCTGCGGGGGTTGGTGGTGGTCAAGGTTCCCCTGTGCCGGTCAGCCGATTTCGATACCCTACGTTCGTAAATGTCATCCTCCTTAGCAAACGTTCACTAAATAAGAGGTTTTTATAAATCCTTATTTGTTTATTGGGCACCTGTTAACTCAACATAGCATTCCCTTCTTATTATTAAACTTAGGACTTGGATCGAGCTTTTCGGGGTGGCACGGTACGGTCCAAAGCACCACACGGTGCGAAGTAAAACCGGTCGTACTTGGATCGGGTTGGCATGGTTGGATCCAAAATCTTCATAAGTGTGTGTTTTGATTATTAGGGAAACTTGTCTAATATAGGAATGTCCTTGTAAATAAAAAATAGGGTTTTTGTTTAGGTTTTTGATCCGGTTTCCCTTATAAACTGGATCAGCCAAAGCTTAAGGGGGTGACTCTTGGCTTTGGCAGCTTTTTAGCAATATATTCAGGTGGGGATCCTCTCCCCCGGTGACCGTTCAAAAAAAATCTTGATTTAAAATGATAAAGTGTAATATTTAGGGGTTGTTTGGTTCCATGACACGAATTGCCACACCTCAATTTAGGTAAGTTTGACCAACTTAGATGTGTGTTTGGTTCTAGCCACAACTAAGATAAAAAAAGTTATGAGCAGTAAGCCCCACATGTCATAGAAACAAAAAGTGTGATAAGATTCCCTAAAACAAGCCAAAGTGTGGTTAAAATTTGAGCATCTCAAGTATGTCAAGTGTGACAATATATGACAAAGATAATCATGATTCTAACAGGTCCTTATTTACTAGGTCGTGCTTGGGCTGGCCCAGCCCCACGAGTGCATGACGGGCCATTGGGTCATGCTTGGGCCTCCCCTTGGCAAGTAGCACGACATGGTAAGTATTTTTTTTTTGAGAAACACGACAAGGTAAGTAAACCGTGCCAGACTGGACTCATTTTTCAGAGTATTTAACAAAAAACTACCACAATTCATGGAACCGTGCCTATAAACTACCACTTTACAAATTTGTGCGAAAAACTACCATTTTTTCACTAATCTTTGACGAAAAACTACCATGTATAAAAAGTGTCCGATTCAACTTGTTTAAACTCAATTATGACGAGTTGGCCCACACGTCAGTATAGAAAAAGCAATCAGCCCCCCAGCTCGCCCATCTCGCCGGGAAGGCACAGGCACGCCGGCAGCCCCCACACGCTCCAATGCGAGCAAGATGGCCGGCGGCGGAGACACTACCGCACTAGCTGCTTGTGTACGGTGTACCCAACACCGTCGGAGTTGCCAGGCTAGCTAGCCATGGCCATGCACTACTGCTGCTCGTTGCGGTCGGAGCTGCCACTTGCCAGGCCAAGCTGCGTAGCGGCCCTGCTGGCCTCGCTACATGCTGCCGCGAACCGCGTCGCACCTGCTCGCCTCGTCCGTGCAGCGGTGACGCGCCGCCGCTGGCCGCCATGCTCTGCCGTGAGCCGCTGGTCACCGCATGTACCCCGCAGGCTTCGTCGACTGCGTCGGGGGGACCTCTCCCCCTGCGACGACCTTGCCGACCTCGCCGGCGCCGCCAGCGTTTCCCGCCTCTGGTGCAGGTTCGGACCACCTCCCCCTCTTTCTCGCATGCGCTCCCTGGTGGCTGCCGCGCCCCGCAAGTCTCGCCGCCTGCGCGTGCCGAGCTCACCGCATGTGCCCGCTGGTCGCCAGGTGGGGAAATCAGTCGATGAGAGAGAGGGAAGGGGAAAAAGCAGGAGGTACGCACGCCGCCGGCGACGACGTCAGATGGCAGGAGGATGGAAGGTTTGGCGCCAGCCGCTCCGGCCACACCAGCTCCGCCATGAACTCAGAGGAGGCACGCGGGTCACCGGAGAAAGAGATCGAGGCGGCGGTGGTCTTCACCGGAGAAGGAGGCGGAGGACCCGATTGCTTCTTTGAAGAAAAACTAGGGACCCGATTGCATTTTTAGCCCGTTTATGTGTGGGGTCGGACAGTCAGATTTGCGTTTAACCCAGGCAAAGCGAGCAGTTTTCACACTTGGTAGTTTTTTGTCACGGATTAATAAAAAAGTGGTAGTTTTCGGGACAAAATCGTAAAGTGGTAGTTTTCTGTCACGTTTCCATGAATTGTGGTAGTTTTTGGTTAAATACTCCATTTTTCATGGCCCAAAGCACGATGAATTTGGGTTGGGAATTTGGCATGGCACGACTCAAGTCCCAGGTTTACTTCTGATATCCTACTGGGGCAGAGGAAAGTCGGGCCCACATGCGCCATCATATTCACATCACTATTTATATTTATCTAACATAAAGGGATCTTGAAGGACCGAGAGCCGCATTTCTCTACTCTTATAAAAAATTGAGTTGATGATGATGGTGTGCCTGCCATCTTACAATATAGACCGCCCGATCTATATCTGACGGATAGAAAGCAAACTATGGCAATTTTGCAAAAAGATACCCGCACCTCTCCCCATATTTGCAGATAAGGCCTTCCCGTGTTCATCCTTATCTCCCACAACCTCATTGTTGAGCGATTAAAAAAGGAAGCATATGGAACAATCTGGCATGGGGGCCACTATTGGCGTCGTCCATCCCCATGCCTCCGCTCAGTCCGACCATCAATCACCACCACGTCCTCCTCACCTTATCTCTCTTTCTCGAGATATCATTAGTTTTTACACATGGGATTACTTCTGCATAGGTCAATCACAACAGGTGTTTTATAAAAAATGCATCTTGATATTCCGTGCAATGCACGGACATCTTGCTAGTTAGATATAAAAGTCATGGTACTACACACGCAAAGACTAAATAGAGAGAAACAAATAACAACACGGTCCTTAAAATTTATGAGAAGAAGCTTAAATCATGGATATATAATGCAATTTGGTCATGACATTAAGCTCCAGTGTAGGACCGAACCCATTGTCACCAAGAACAACACCACTTGGGATGATGAGTTCACCACAAGACCACCACCAGCATTTGGCTATAGGAAAAATGTGGACACCTAGATGAAATCATATTGTCTCCTATTAGGCCTTCATGCCACGAGGAAGAGAATGGGAAAACATTGTAATCAGACACCGAACCTCCAACAAATCGCTTTTTAACCAGAACATTCATCGGCGAGGTCGCTGAGACAAGTAGTTAACTACTAAAGACTGATGCTCTCTGAGAGGAAGAATGATTCGATGGTCGTCGTAGCTCCTCCACGAGCACAACTGAAGATGAGCCCCATGAACGAAATGATCTGTTACTCAATGAAGATTGGACCTCGCCCCATCGCATTTCCCTCTACCTCCACCATGACTGCTTGAAGAGGACATAAGGGGCAAGACCGGCGAGCTTATTATGAACATGTCGGCATTGAGTTTCCCTCGTATATGATTATCACCATTGGAGCACCGGCAACACAAAGATCGCAACCGCGTCGGGCCTTCTCGGGCGACTCTCAGCGAGAAGGGCGGGAGAGATGAGAGTTCATGTAGCTACATTTATAACATTACTCTGATGTAGACCTCAAAAAAACATGGCATGTTGTGTCTAGCCGATTGATGCTACTTAGCTAGAAAACCAAAAAAAATAAGAATTGTTACTGCAGGTTGCCGGGCAAACCCGAAAAGGTAACAAGAAACACGCACCAGTGCAGATACAACGCGACACCCTAGAAGCTAGGCATGCAACTTCAAAAAAACAACAGGCATGCAACAAACATATTTAGGACGCAATATGAGTAGATTGGTAAAATAAATTAAGTTTTTCTTAAGCACCAGTGCTTATCTCTATATGAGGGGTGCCTAATTAAGCGTCTACTCTCTAAAAATAAAACTGATGCTTAAGAAAAACTGGTTTATCTTTGTAAGCACCTTGCATTGTGAAGCATTTTGCATTGTACAAGGCCTTACCATGCTCACTATGGCTGGATATGGTTGGGCGCTTTGCGATGAGGAATTAACGGAGCACATATGTGCACACACACCTGTGAAGATGCAAAGCAATGGTTGTTCTACACGCATCAGACATTTAGCCAAGGACCTTTATTTTTTCTGGAAAAAAGGCAAGATGCTTAACCTGTATGGTTATGGATGGCTACAAGACCAAGTTGAGTTTTTTTTTTTACTTTACTGGTTGTCTTAACTTTGTAAAAACGTGGAAGCTGTACTCAACATTCTACAAATACAATCCAGAAGCTAGGGCCGGTTAGGACTTAGGACCCAGACTTCAGAATTTTACAAACTGTAGTCATTTGTAACTGCGAAAAATCACTGAAGCTCCTTGCAATGCTTTACTGGGTCTCCTCCATCCATAACAGATCCTCTTGGGATTTGCAAGTCCTACAAGCCCTTCAATTATGAGAACCAACTAGAATATGAAAATGGTGTAACATACATATATGTCAGCAACAAAGAGCAAAAGGCTATCAGGTGGGGCAAGATCAAGCAAACACGAGAGAACTTAACATTCCTCGCATTTTCAGTATGTCGGTTACAGGTTACAAAGCTTGCATATGCATCAATACAAGCATGACTCGGTACCAAATGTATTGTATTCTACCTGAATTTAGGTAGGGTGGGTGTCTATTTCCATGTCACTTCTGTCTTCTCCTATCTACAGCTTTTCGTAAACTTTAGCTATTCACTGGCGATCAACCGAAATAATTTGTGATTTCTTTTACGAGCAAGAAGAGCTGGTTTTCTCCTGGCATGTTTTCCAATCTTTCGAACAAGATGCCATCCATTCTAGCTTGGACACCATTTAAGGAGGTGACATCCTGTAGCACCCCCTTCACAACCCTGTCAACTCCAAGAATTGAACCCCCGATGCCTGATAAG